GCCCAAGGTGAGTAGCTGCACACAAAACTTTGTGCTTTGCCTCTTTAAGAGGGTGCCTGCATTTCCAGCTGTCTCTGCCTAGAAGACAGAAACTTGGCTGCTTTTCATGGCCAGTTGTTATGTGGGTGCCTTTCTCAGTTCTGGTGCTCTTTGCTGGGAAGCTCAGCCTGGGTTTGGACCCCCGAGTCCTTTGTGGGAACTCACTCCCCCACCCCAGCTGAGATATCCCTCTGGACCTTCAGCTGCTTCTTGTGGGAGCCCAGCCAGCCCTCTAGCGCCTCTGCACTTCCTACCAATCTTTATGTGGTCTTCACTTTTCCTCCTTGGTTATGAGGGTCCTCTCTAGTTCATCTTCAGTTGCAGTTGATTGTTCAGGATGGCTTTTCTATATTTTAGTTGTAATTCCAGTTTGGTCCCTGTAGAGTGTCAGTGTAGCATCCACTCAATCCACCGCCATCTTTAATCTCNGTTTGGTCCCTGTAGAGTGTCTGTAGCATCCACTCAATCCACCGCCATCTTTAATCTCCTCCTATGATCCATTTTGAGTTCATATTTTTGAAGAATGAGTATCCAGTTGTTCCAGCACCATTTGTTGAAAGACTCTCTTTTCTCTGTTGTATTGCCATCGCTGCTTTGTTAAGATCAGTTAACTATACTTATGTGGGTCTATTTTGGGGCTCATCATTCTGTTCCATTGGCCTACTTGTCTGTTTTTTCACCTGTGACATACTGTATTGATTACTATAGCTTTATGATAATTCTTTTTTTTTTTTATCCTTTCCTCACCTGAGGACATTTTTTCCATTGCTTTTCAGAGAGAGTGGAAGGGGGGGGGAGAGAAACATCGATGTGAGAGAGAGACATCCAGTGGTTGCCTCCTGCATGTGCTCTGACCGGGGCCGGGGTTGAGCCTGCAACTGAAGTATGTGCCATTCACCAGAACCAAACCTGAAACCCTTCAGTCCACAGGCCAACACTCTAACCACTGAGCCAAATGTGCTATGGCAATAATTCTTGAAGTAGTGTCAGTCCTATGGACTTTGTTCTTCATTATTGAATTAGCTATTTTGAGTCTTTTGCTTCTCCATATAAACTTTAGAATCAGTTTGCAATATCCGCAAAATAACTTGCTGGAATTTTGACTGGGATTACATTGAACCTATAATTCAAGTTGGGAAGAACTGACATCATAATAATAGTCGTCTATTCATGGACATGGAATATCTCTTCATATTTAGTTAGTTAATTCTTTGTTTTCTTTCATTAGAATTTTAAAGTTCTTATATAGATCTTATACATAATTTGTTAGATTTACACCTAAGTATTTCATTTTTTAGGTGTTAGTTTAAACGGTAATATGTTTTTAATTTCAAATTCCACTTGTTCATTGCTGATATATAGGAAAGTGATTGACTTTTGTGTATTATCCTTGTATCTTGCAATCTTCATAATTGCTTAGTAGTTCCAGAAGTTTTTTTGCTGATTATTTTGGATTTTCTATATAGACAATCACATCATCTCCCAACAAAGACAGTTTTATTTTTTTCCTTTCCAATTAATATATTTTTTATTTCCCCTTATTGTTCATTACATTAGCTAGGTCTCCTTTTTCAATCTCTTCACTTATTTTCTTTATCCGTTTGCCTTTCCTGTTTATTCTTCACTTTTCAGTCTGAATAACATTCTCATTAAACTGGACAAATGGGAATTGAGAGGGGTTTGTTTCACAAAACAGCACACATAATTAAATTAATTGCATGTAAAGAATTGAAGTTTTCAATGCTTGTAGACTTCCAGGTGAAGTTAATTTTGACCCAGCCTTTGAGAATTTGAATTGGTTGAAAAGAACGTGAGAGAGGACAAAGATGGTAGACAAAATCTGACATATGATCAGAAGATATTTGTACAGTGCTGTAGTAATTACTTGGATTTATTGGAGTGAAAAGTCATTGTGGAAAGAATGGGAATTAGTGAAAGTGGAGATCATGGGAAGAGGCAGTTTAATATAATGAGACTTAAGTGCTGTATTCGTAGCACCTCAAGTTGTGTGGAACTTTACACTTTATAAAACCATTTTCATGTAACCTTTTGAGATAGATGGGAAGTATTCTTATTTTACAAATGAAAAAGTTAATATTTAGATTAAGAAATGTACCAATTTCATGTAACCCAGTATGTGACCCAGTTAGAACTAAAACTCTGTATTCCCAAAATCCCTGTTCTTCACTGATACTGTTACACCTCTGTTGCCTCAGCATAGTACTATATACTTGTAACTCTTAGAGTTTATTGTGTTTTCATGTGCATTATCTGATTTGATTAAAAGTCTAATGAAGTATATAGTTTAGGTATTATTATCTCATTTTATAGATAAGGAAAATGAAGATGAGAGAACATAAAGTAGATAGGCCTGCTTTCTTAATCCCATCACTTATTTTCTGTATCTGCATGCCTTATTCAGTTTTCACTTTTCAGTCTAGATATTAACTTTTTCTATTAGGTTGAGGCTAAAAGAAGTTAAATAGGTTAAAAAGGTCAACACTATAATAAGTAAAAGAACAGATCCAGGTCTAAACTTATGCCTTCTAGTTTATGTCTTCTTGTCAATATTCTGTTCTGGAATTAAGTACCTACTGGTAGACCCAGGAGTTTCTTGAGACTTGTTCTTACCATGATTGAGAATTATTCTGATAGATGTGTGTAGGATTATTAGGAAAGATAAGAAGTGGAGGTTGGTGATATCAGCTGTAAGGTGGCCATATTAACACAGTTTGTTAACAGACTTAAAATTTAATTGAAAACTGTGGAATGATGAAGTTCTAGATGAAATAAAAATATCAGTATTTGGATATTTCCACTTAAAAATGCACAGGAATGGCCCTGGCTGGGCTGCTCAGTTTGTTGGAGCATTTCACATACACTAAAAAGTTTCAATTTCATTTCCAGTCAGGGCACATGCCTAGGTTGCAGGTTTGATCCCTAGTTTGGGAGTGTACAGGAGGTATCTGGTCAGTGTTCCTCTCTCACAGTGATGTCGTGTGTCCCCCTGCCCCCTCTTTCGCTCTCTTTTTCTCTCTCCCTTACTTTCTCTCTAAAGTCATTAAACATATCCTCTGGTGAGGATTAAAAAAAAAAAAATGCACAGGAATGAACTGCTGTACTCTCTCACTTCTGCCAATATTTATATTATTTAATAGTGTTGGGACTGTTTTAATTTATTCATAATACTTTAAAAATAGGAACAAAATCTTTTTTTATCATCTCCATAACTTGTGTTTGAGGTGTGAATGAGATAGGAAGGAAACGGTTTGTATGTATAGCTATCTTATGTTTTATGCATTCTAAGCAGGTGCTATGATCTAGTTTGAAGTATTTATGTATTGTGGGGTTTTTTTAATCCTCACCCAAGGACATGGTTAGAGAGAAGGGAGAGACAGAGAGAGACAGAGAGAGAGAGGAACATCAATTGGTTGCCTTCCATATGTGCCCAACTGGGGGTCGAACCCACAACCTTTTGGTGCACAGGACAGCACTCAACCAACTGTGCCACCCCAGCCCGGTTAATCTCTTTTTTTTTTAAACTATTTTTTCCCCTTTTTTTTAAAAAAAACTTTTATTTATTTATTGATTTTTAGAGAGAGAGGTAGGGAAGGGGGAGAGAGAAGAGAAACATTGATTTGTTGTCCCACTTATTTATGCATTCATTGGTGGTTTCTTGTGTGTACCTTGACCTGGATGGAACCCACAACTTTGGCTATGGGATGACACTCTAACCCACTGAGCCACCCAGCTAGCAGTATGTATCAATTTCTTATGACTGATGTAACAAATTACTACAAACTCAGTTGCTTGAAAAACCAGAAATTTAATCTCTCACAGTTCTAAAGGTCAAACATCTGAAATTATTATTACTGGGCTGAAATTAAGGTGTTTGTAGGGCTCTAGGGGGGAATTTGTTCCTTGCTTCTTCCAGCTTCTTGTGGCTGCCAGTATTACTTGGTTTGTGGCTTCATCACTGTACTCTCTGTCTCAGTGGTCACAATACCTTCTCTTCTGTCTGTTTCAAATCTTCTACCCTCTCCTTATAATGAACCTGTAATTATATTTAGGTCCCACCAGGATAATCTCAGAATCCTTAATCATATCTGCAGAGTCTTTTTTACCATATATAACATTCAAAAGTTCCAGGGATTAGGATGTGGATGTCTTTTTAGGGAGCCATTATTTAGCCTACCACAGTCCTTATGCCTTTCACTTTCTCTTCTTCTTCTCATCTCTTCTCTCCTGTTTTTATTCTTTTTCATTTTTCAGAAGCACATAGTGGCAAGTAGGTTGCGTGGGTATGATCTGAAGTTGTGTTCAAGAGTTGAGTAGATGTGGTCTAGATCAGTGAGTGAGCGTTATTGTCCTCACTATATTAATTTATTAATTTTTTGTTGTCATTGAATTAGTTGACAGTAATGGTACCTTTGTTAAGTTTAACACCCTTTATCAAAGTAATTATTGAATCTTTGGGTAAAGTATGTGAGTTAACATGACATTTCTTTCTAATCAAAGCGTCTGTTGATTAGATTGGCAGGCATTGATACTATCATTGAGAAAATAGCCAAATAACTACTAGCATTGTTTCAAAACCAGTTTTCATTTAAGGGAATTTTTTTTCACATTTACATTTTGTTACAGTGATAGCTCAGAATTGAATTTAAGGAAGGTAAACAAAAGAGTTGGCAGAGTTCTGATCCCAAAATCCATTGTCAACAGAACTTTGTGGTTTGGGGCATAACACATAACCTTTGGGCCTTTGTTTCTTAATTTCTTTACTGAATGAGTTGAATTATATGACTAGTAACATCGCTTTTAACTTTAAAAGCCTCTATCTGATACTTAGCATAAAGTATTTAAAAACAAACAAACAAATCTTATTTATTTTGTACTATTAGGAAGAGAAATCATAATGGCAAGATTATTTTGAATTAACTGTGCTTTTTGTTTTTCTGTAGATGGACCACGCATCTCCAACCTACATGCTTGCTAACTTAACCCACTTACATTCTGAACAACTCCTACAGGGTCTGAATCTTCTTCGTCAGCATCACGAACTCTGTGACATCATTCTTCGAGTAGGTGATGTTAAAATCCATGCTCACAAAGTGGTACTTGCCAGCATCAGCCCATATTTCAAAGCTATGTTCACTGGAAACCTTTCTGAAAAAGAGAACAGTGAGGTTGAGTTTCAGTGCATTGATGAAACTGCTCTCCAGGCCATTGTGGAATATGCCTACACAGGAACTATTTTTATCTCGCAGGACACAGTTGAATCTCTCCTTCCAGCAGCAAACCTACTCCAGATAAAACTTGTCCTGAAAGAATGTTGTGCATTTCTTGAAAGCCAACTTGATCCTGGTAACTGTATTGGAATTTCTCGTTTTGCAGAGACGTATGGTTGTCATGACCTTTATTTAGCAGCCACTAAATACATATGCCAGAATTTTGAAGCTGTTTGCCAGACTGAAGAGTTTTTTGAGCTTACACATGCTGATTTAGATGAAATTGTTTCCAATGACTGTTTGAATGTAGCTACCGAAGAGACTGTTTTTTATGCACTTGAATCTTGGATCAATTACGATGTACAAGAACGCCAGAAATACTTAGCACAGCTACTTAACAGTGTGCGATTACCATTGCTAAGTGTTAAGTTTCTCACTAGGTTATATGAAGCAAATCATCTTATTCGTGATGATCGCACTTGTAAACATCTTTTGAATGAAGCCCTAAAGTACCACTTTATGCCTGAACATAGACTCTCTCATCAGACAGTCTTGATGACAAGACCTCGCTGTGCTCCCAAAGTGCTTTGTGCAGTAGGAGGAAAATCTGGACTGTTTGCCTGTTTGGATAGGTAAATAGAAGGATTGATATTAATAGGTTTTATACTTTTTAAATGTTTCCATAATTTTAAAATAGTTTGATTTTCTTAGTTTTTTATTTGCTTCTTTTTGTTTTTTTCTCTTCTTTCTAAACACTTATCTGGTGGTTTTAATGACATTGTTGTCCATTGCTCTACAACACTCTCAAATATTCACACCCCTGCTCCAGGTGTACAAACTTAATCTTTTCTGGTTACTTACTAACTTTTCTTCTATTTTATGTCTTTTCTCTTTGTGAAACCATTTGTATCTTTATTTAAGTCATACCAGGTCAGAGGGATTTATTATTGGTAGCTATATCAGAAGGTGCTAAAGAGGAGAGCTAGGAGTCTGTGATGAGGGAGACTTGGGGTTAAGATTGGGTTTGAATGAATTCAGTTAATTAGAAGAACCACCAAACAAATAAGAAAAAGTAGGATATTGATACAAATCATGGACTTTATATGCAATTTATTTTAATGACAGTGGTAAAAAGTACTTTCTTTTCTAATAACTTGGTGTTGTCAGACTACTTAATGAAAAGCCAAATAATATTTTAGACTTTGTGGCCATATAGTCTCTGTCATAACTACTCAACTCTATCATGTATGAGAGAAGTCATAGACAATACATAGATGAATTAGCATAGCTAGGTTCCAACAAAACTTTATTTACGAAAGTAGCTGATGGGCTGAATTTGGCCCATAACCATAGTTTACCAATCCCTGATTTAGAGCATTATGCAATAACTTATATATTGAAAATAGAACTGGATGTTACCTTTGCTTTTCCCTTGAATGGGATTGCTTCATGAAAACGTTTGTGTTTGATATATTTTTTTAATACTGTGGATTTCTTTCTGGCCATTTCCAAAAATTTGGTAGATTGCTTTCTCTGCTCAGTGGTAAGAAACTATTGATGTTTTATCAATGTCAACTGATATATTCTGTATATTTTTAAAATACATATATATCTTTATTGATTTTAGAGAGAGAGGAAGGGATAGGGAGAGAGAGAGAAACATCAGTGTGAGAGAGGAACATCGATTGATTGCCTTCTGTATGTACCCACACTGGGGACTGAACCCTCAACTCAGGTATGTGCCCTGACCAGGAATCGAACTGGCACCCTTTCAGTGCACAGGACAACACTCAACCAACTGAGCCACTCCAGCTGGGCTGTATCTTTTTAAAAAGCCTTAGTGTACATCTTAATTGTAGCCTAAAACTAGTATTGTTGAAATTGGGCTACATGTAAAAACATTAGTTATGGTGACTATGTGAATTGTTTACTTTTTTTTTTTTAATCCTCAGCCAAGAATATGTTTATTGACTTTTTTTTAAATTTGTTTTTTTGAGAGAGAGAGAAAGAATCATCAGTGCCCTCACTGGAAATTGAAACCCCAACTATTTGGTGTATGGGATGGCACTCCAACCAGCTGAGCCACACTGGCCAGGGTTGTTTACTCCTCTTTAAAGGCATTGATTAGTGGCATGAAGTAAATCATATTAATCAAATACCATGACACTAAATTTCAAATATGAATTTACGTTCTAAAAACTCTTGAGCAGTTGCCTCTTGGTCTCTTGAGTATTGAAAATAACAAATTATTATTGTTATTTTTTAGTTTAAAAAAACTGTTTTTATTGATTTTTTTTAGAAGAGAGGAGAGGAGAAGGAGAGAGAGATAGAAACATCAATGAAAGAGAAATATCAGTTGGCTGCCTCCTGCACACCTCCCTCTGGGAACCAAGCCCACAACCTAGGTATGTGCCCTGACCAGGAATTGAACCAGTGACCTGTTGGTTCACAGGTCGATGCTCAACCACTGAGCTACACTGGCTGGGCTGTTATTTATTAATTTTTTTTATTAAGAAATCTTAATGTTGACATTGTTGCAGGTGTTCCTCTTCTCCGCCCCCCCATTGCCCACCTCACTCACCCCACATCCCCCTCCCTTGGCCTTCACCAAACTATTGTCTGTGTCCAAGGAGTATGCATATATATTGTTTAGCTAATTCCTTCACCTTCTTTATCCAGTCATCCCCACACCGCTCCCCTTGGGCACCTGCTATGTATCCATGTTTCTGGTTCCGTTTTGTTCATCATTTTATTTTGTTCATTAGATTACCCAAATTAGTGAGATCATACGGTATTTGTCTTTTTCTGACTGACTTATTTTATTTAGCATAATAACAAATTATTGAAGAGTCATAAGAATTGTTCATATCCTTAGAGCCAGTAATCTTTCATTTTAGAATCTAACATAAGAAAACAAATTTAAATATCACTTGCACAACGCTGTTTATTGCAGTATTATTTATTTATAACAATGGAAAAATTAGGATCAACCTGAATAATTATTCAGTTTAATTCTACAAAAAGAATTAAACACCTGTGCATGAGACACTGTGCTAGATAATGGATCTTTAACAAGTTCATAATTTAGTAAAGGGAACAGATATTTACACAGATAATTATAATGCTTAGTTTTAATATAGCAATAAAGAGAATTCTATGGTAGTATTAAGGAGAGGCATTTATCCCATTTGGGGGATTTAGGGAAGATGTTATGGATAAGTTAATGTCCAAGGTGAGTATTAAAGGCTAAGCAAGAGCCAAGCAAAAAACAGTGGGAAGGTCACAGGAAGTACACAAAGACACAGTAGCATGTTACAATACAGGCTGTGTAGGAAATAAAAAGCTGTTTGGTATTTCAAAGTATAGAATTTTAACCAGCAAGTAGCAGGCCATGGTCAATAGCCAAGTCAAAGAAGGTATTATGTTTTATGATGATGAGAGGATATTTATTACATGGATTGAAAAATAATTTTAAGGAGGATAGTAAAATGATCATATTTGTATATTAGATCATTCTTGACTGTGTTACAGACATATATCAAGGAGACTAGGATTAGCATCAGAGTGATTGGGAAAAAGGCTATTGTAAAAGTACAGGCAAGAGATTGTGAGGTCCTAAATTAGGGAAGTAGTAATAAAGTTAGAGAATGGGGCATTCATTTAAGAAATGTTTTAAGAAGTCAAATTGATAAAATTTGGTTGAATGCATATGAAGGGATAACGAGAAGGAAAATCAAAGATGAGTGAGATTTCTTGGTTAGGTATTAAATGATGAATGGTTATTCCAAGAGAAAGAGAGAATATAGGAGGAGCCATTGTAAGAAGGAAAATAATGTGTTTAGTTTTGGAATACTGAGTTTGAATTGCCTATTGAATATCCAAGTGAAGGATGTCGTAGTACTAGCTGGATATGATTGCAGAGCTCAAAGATGCAATCAGTGCTGGAAATTTGGAAGTTAGCATATAGTATAATTTAGAGGTATAAATGAAAACCATGACATTCCTATTACCCAGGAAATTCCAAGGAGTTCCGGATTTCTGTACTAGGAACCTGGGACAAAACCCAAATATATATATTTTTATTACACTATTATTGTATGGCCTTGTATACCATCTAATTTAACCTAATTGCCCAGCCTTTTTATTTACTTTTAACTTCTTAAATCTGTTTGCTGTGTCCTCTAGGATTCACATTCTATTATAGAAAAATCTCCTTTATCCTCAACTTCTTGCTTATTATAATGAAATAAGACTGATGCTTAAGGATACTGTTTTTGCTAAAGCCCTTTCAAAACTGGTGTGGTTTTCCCCCCCCATACCTCATGTATCACAGGCCCTAAAGGTTGAGTAATTGGTTTTTTGCTCCTCAAAGCCAATTCCAAAATTTTTTCATCTCCCACCCTCAAAAACCTCAACTCATTTCAAGCAGTTACCTTCAGGCTATATTACTTGATGTCCCTTCTGTTAACATCATCTGCTGTTCCTTTAGTAATTTCATTTATTGAAGACTTTTATAGCTGGCTGTCTTTTCATCATTTCACATAAGTAATCATTCTTATTGATTTCAACATCCACATAGTATAATCTACAGTTACCCAACTCCTTTGTCTCTCTCCTGGAACTCACTTTTACTAATTTTTTCTGCCTTACCTTAGGCACCTGTTGTCATGGTCATACCCTCAACTTTGTTATTACCAATGACTTGAACACTTTGAAAATCTTGGTTTCAAACATCCCACTTTCTGTCCACCACCTTCTTTCTTGCCAGCTTATTTATTTGAGTACAACCACTGCAACCTTTCTTTGTTCCCTTCAAGACTTAATCCTTTGACCTTCTAATCAGTTAGTAAAACTTATTGCTAACCAACCACCACATGTCCTCACTCTGTCCAGCTTTGATTCCCGGAACATCAGTCATCACTACTTTGAATACACCCATGGCTTCCTTACCTATCTTTTCTTCCATCATACTCGTCTAGTTAAATTCAGTTATCCACTTATGCCATGGCTGCATCTGAGCAGCAAAATGTGGCTAGAGAAACACACTTATTCATCTTAACTGGTTTCCCTTAGGGCTCTCAGTACTCCCAGCCACCCCTTTGCTTTTCCCTAATTAACTTACTTTTTTACTTCTTTGGAGGAACTGTTTCATACCTTCTGCTATCGCCATAAAAACTTCCAAAGTCCCTTACCCTCACCTTCCAACTCTCAGCTGATAGAAGCATTCTGAAGAGAACTGCCTTATCTTCCCATCACCAAATCTACAAAGTTATTTCTATCTAAGACAAACCCCTCCACTTCTCTATTTATTCACCATCTTCCATTCCCTCTCTACACAAGGACTTTGCTCCTGCAGTTATCCTGTCACTCTCCTATATTATCAACTTTTCCCACTCTACTACATCATAGCCAGCAGCTACAAACATGTTCTGGTTTAAACTCCCAGATTAAATTAATATACCTTGGACTCTATGATCTTTCTCTGCTCATCTTTATAGCTGCCTCCCCATATGTCTTTCACTCTTTAGAGTAAAAGCCTTGGAAAAGTTGTCTACACCCACTGTTTTCCTCATCTCCCATTCTCTCTTGAACCACTCCCATCAATATTTGCCCCCACCACCTCACTGAAATTGCTCTCCTTAAGATCAAATAGTTCCCTGATGTATATCGTTCTTATTGAAACAAATTCACATTTTTATTTTATTTTTAAAATTTATTTATTATTATTTTAAATATGTCTTTATTGATTTCAGAGAGAGGAAGAGAGAGGGAGAGAAATAGAAACATCAATGATGAGAGAGTCATTGATCGGCTGCCTCCTGCACACCCCCTACTGGGGATTGAGCCGGCAACCCAGACATGTGCCCTGACCGGGAATCAGACCACAATTTTCTGGATCGCAGGTCAATGCTCAACTGCTAAGCCACTCTGGCCGGGCAAATTCATAGTTTTAAAACAAGCAATATAACAAAACTGTACTTAGCTATTCAATAGCTATTGAATAAATGAATGTACTTTGATCATACTGGATAAAGAATATATATTTTTATGCTATGCTGTATTGGCTACTTTTTCCCTACTTTTTTTGTAATGAAATATCTATACATGCAAGAAACCATATATAATATGCATAATAGATACCCATCTTAAGAAGTAGACTAATAATGATACCATTAAAGTCCCCCTATGCCCCTCCTTGATGCCATCTCCTTTCCTCCCCCGAAAGGAATCACTATTCTGAATTTTCTGTGCATTATTCCTTTGCGTTACAATTTTGCCACATCTTTCATGTACCCCAATATATCATTGGGTTTTACACATTTTTTTCCTCTCTCCTTTTTTTAAGAATAGTTAATTGATTTTTAGAGAGAGAGAAACGTTGATGTGAGAGTGCTACATTGATTGGCTGCCTCCTGTACACCCCTTACCAGGGATCAAGCCCGCAACCCGGGCATGTACCTTTAACTGAGATTCGAACTGGCGACCCCCTAGTGCATAGGACAATACCCAACCAACTGAGCGACACCAGCCAAGGCTACATGTTTTATATAAATGAAATAGTACTATGTATATTTTTTCAGAGATGTGTTTTGTCACTCAACAGTAAGTTTATGAAATTCATCTGTGAGACTACATGAGGAAATAGTTCATTTAGCTTTACTGGTGTGTGGTATTATATGGACATAATACAGTATTTTCTACAATGAACATATTAATTATGAAAGTTAATTGAAGTGCTACACACATGCAGAAAAGTTTACAAATTCTAAGCGTACAGTTCAGGGCATTATCACAGGTTGAATATTACAAACCAGTTTAAGAAATAGGAAACATGCCCTAGCCGTTTTGCCTCAGTGGTTAGAGTGTCGGGCCTCGGACTGAAGGGTCCCGGATCCGATTCCAGCTAAGGGGCGCATACCTCGGTGTGGGCTCGATTCCAACCCAGCCCGCCTGTGGGGGAGGCAGCCAATCAATATGTCTCTCTCACGTTGATGTTTCTCTCTCTCTTTTTCTCTCTCCCCCCCTCCACTCTCTCTGAAGAGCAACGGAAAAAATAGCCTTGGCTGAGGATAAAAAAAAGTAGGACACATGACCAACACCCAGAAACCATTCTTGAGTTCCCTCCCTGTCCTCCCCAAAGGTCACCACTATCCTTATTTTTAATACAGAGATTAGAAATATTTTTGAATGTTATATAAATGAAACTACGCAGAATATAATCTGAATTTTGGCATCTTTCGCTCAATATTATATGTGTAAGATTCAGCCCTGTTGCATGTACCTGTTTGTTCATTTTCATTGCTGTGTATGTAGTATTCTCTTGTATAATATACCACAGTTTATTCATTTTTTGGTTGATGAACATTTGGAACATTTAAAAACATCCAGTTTTTAACTACTACAAATAATGCATCTGTTAACATCCTTATACATGTATATATGTGTACATTTCCCTTGGGTACATATCTAGGAATGGAATTGCTCAGTCATAGGGTGGATATATACCATCTTATTCGGTCATTCTTCTTTTGACGGATGATTGTGTTGTGCTGCTATGAACATTTCTGTATATGTGTCCTGGTGCAAAGCTGTAATAGGCATTCATTAGAATACATACACAGGAATGAAACTGCTGAGTCAGACATGTGTGTATCTTCAAATTTACCAGATAATGTGAAATTGTTTTCTAGAGTAGTTTTACCAGTTTACACTCTCACCAACAGAGTATTTATTCCTTGTTCCACATTCTTGCCAGTCGTTATCTAACTTTAACTTTTTCCCAGTCTGGAAAGTGTGTCATGGTTTATTGTGGTTTTAACTTGATGTCCCTGATTACTAATGAGATTATAAACATTTTTGTTTGTGGACCATTTTGATTTTTAAATGTAATTTTTTTTGCTTATTCTTTAGTGTGGAGATGTACTTTCCTCAGAATGACTCTTGGATTGGTTTGGCACCCCTAAACATTCCTCGCCATGAATTTGGAATATGCGTTTTAGACCAAAAAGTGTATGTTATAGGTGGTATTGAAACTGACGTGCGTCCTGATTTCACTATCAGAAACCATGAAAATTCAGTAGAATGCTGGAATCCTGATACAAATACCTGGGCTTCTCTCGAGAGAATGAATGAGCACCGAAGTACCCTTGGAGTAGTAGTACTTGCCGGAGAACTTTATGCTTTAGGTGGTTATGATGGACATTCTTATTTACAATCTGTAGAAAAGTATATTCCCAAATTAAGAAAATGGGAACCTGTGGCACCAATGACTACAACACGAAGTTGTTTTGCTGCAGCTGTGCTGGATGGAATGATATATGCCATTGGTGGGTATGGTCCTGCCCACATGAACAGGTATTTAACTTAATCAAGCTATAGATTTTTTAAAATATTATTAACAATAATTTCTGTCTTTCAAACAATTTGTGTGTACAAATTAACTTCCCTTTTAAAGGGGAAATTTTGGAAAATTTAATCTCCTCTGTGAGTATAATTATAAATGTTTTAATGGGGATTTAATATATACCTACAAATGCCTCTTATTAAATTTTACATTCAATCAATATAAATGGACATATTTTAAAATTCAGAAATCTGAAAATGAGATTAAGTTGACAACTTTAGATTTTGGATGGTGGGTGTGTGTGTGTGTGTGTGTGTGTGTATATGTGTGTATAAATGGCCTGTTGTTGCATTGCTTAATAGAATAAAAAAGTGAAAAATGTAATCCCTATATGCTTATACAATATTATAATACATCATAAACTTAAATCCTTATTTAAATATTTTTTCCTGGATTCTTATTCTATAATCATACATATATTATGTATTTGAGTTATGTTAGAGTTTGAATTTGAGATTTCTGTATTTTGTATTCTCTGAATAAAGGAGAAATATGTAGGAGGAACATAAAAGGATAAAGTGACTGCTTATATGGAAAATTAGTCATCATTCTGAATCCTTGTTGAAAATTGATGTTCCAAACATTTTTATCTCTAATACTAATTAGAGTGGTATATGTTTTATTTATTGTGAGCATTTTAATGAAAAAATATATTATGGTTTGTTAAGTGACTGAGAAGGTAATAGCACAACAGCATCTCATCTATACATTTTTATTTATTTTTGTGTAAGCTAAAGTATTCCTTTTTTTTATTGTTTCCTTAATTGAAGGAAAAATATTTGAATCCCAGGCATACATTTCTATGAAAAGTTGCTGGCAGAGATTTATAAGATGAAATGTTAAGTATTTTAGTTTTGAGATTAAGCTCTTGAAGTTTAAGTTTTTGCTATAGTTTATCAACTCTTGTCCAGTGATTTTGCTCTAATGGTTTTTATTGTGGTGTCCTTTCAGAAACAGTTATAGTTTAGTCTACCTTCTAGTCTAGTCCATAGTCTAGTCTCTATCCTAACTCCAGGATTACATCACTGACTCTCAAATGGTTTAGGACTTTTTTGAGAGGTAAGTAAGGTTAAAACCAGAACAAGTTTAACAAGCTTGCCTTTGTGCCACTGCAAGGCAAAGCATTGGCTTACAAGGCCTTCTGGGATTTTCTAGAGAAGCTCTTTTGGAAATTCTGACTTGATTTGGATTTCCATAGTACAGCTTGGAAATGCCAAGTGTTCCCTGGAATGCAGATTTGACTTAAATCCCTGAATTCTCCTAAATCACTCTGAGATTATTATGATTAGCCAGTTTGTGCTATGAAATCTGCAGTTTTTGCTTTGTGGTAAACCACTGTGAATTCTACTGTAAGAAAAGAAGTCCTCATCTTCTTTCCCCTTTCCTTAGCTGTGTAGACGAAGACTCTTAGTATCCTTAGAATACACCTATATTCAGATGTGATTTTCCAAGTCCTTTCACGTGCGTGCTCATTTGACTTTATTCTTACGTGGATCTTTGAAGTTGTATTGTCATTTTTGCAGGTGAGAGGAAATAAGATTTATCCAGGATTACACAAATCCAAAGTGATAAGGCTAGGGTTCGTTCAGCTCTAGATATGCTGCATTAGCACTTGAACCCAGGTTTTCTCACTCCAAAAGTTCTATAATATTAATATACCTTGCTGCTTACACAATATAATGTGATAGCATATGGCTATTTTTGCACCTGGTCCACTTGGTAAGCTTTTATTCCTGCAATTTCACCAGCAAAATCAAAACATTTGGGACAAACTACTCTGGTTTTATATCTGCCTATTTAGTTAACATTTGAAAGTTCAAATGGTAGGGTTTAGTTTTGCTTTAGTAGGAAAAGTGACACAAAGAATATGTGAATTAATTCTTTCTTTTGTGAATATTTGCAGTGTGGAGCGTTATGATCCAAGTAAGGACTCCTGGGAGATGGTTGCATCTATGGCAGATAAAAGGATTCACTTTGGTGTGGGTGTCATGCTGGGCTTTATTTTTGTGGTAGGTGGACATAATGGTGTCTCACATTTGTCAAGCATTGAAAGATATGACCCTCATCAAAATCAGTGGACTGTGTGTAGACCAATGAAAGAACCCAGAACAGGTAATAACAACTTACTAATTTCTAACATATAGGACAATATTTTTATAGTGATGTTCTTGGAATAGTAGTTCTTTGGAATATAACAGTAAAGAGTATTACTTGTTCAGGAAAAAACCAAAAACTTTTGCGGTAAAGTGAGAGACAACTAGAACAGACAAAACCACATAGATTTCTTTACTGTGGTTTTAATATGCCAGTGTCCATATTAAGATTTCTTAAACTTGGAGAACACATTTTGAGAAATGGTGGTAATAGAATGCATCTTATAGAAGCTCTTTTTATCCATATAGCAAATGTCATCTTTTTATATGTTAAACACACACACACACAGAATCCCCTGATGTATTTTGTTTTTTATTGCACGTTAGCAGCCTATATGTTCCCTTTCAAATGTTCTCTCCTCCTGAAGGGGTATCGTCGATCAAGAAAAGGTTGAATTTCAGAGTTCCTGGAGAAAAACAGATATATCAAGGAAAAGAAGAAATTATCTTTGAGTCTAACTAAATAACATTATTTTAAGGGGAAAGTTTTAAGTTACTGATGGAGTATGTTGCGAATATTCTTTGCATTTGTGAGTTAAGAAACTCATGAAACATAAACATGCAAAGGAAACTGAAAGGACAAAATTGAGTGAACTATTTTGGTTGTTTACTATAATTAGTTTCTGTGCCATCACTGAGAGAGAAAGCCATAAAAAAAAAAGAATGTAAAAAATTTAGGTAGCTCTGTTCTTTAAGAGCATAAGTTATGTAGCTCAATAGATATTTTAAGTATTTCAATATACAGGTTTCCTCTGGTACCCGAAAAAAGAGCTTTCCTATGAAACCTTTTCTAAACCGAAATGGCTAAAGCCTAGAAGCAATTACCTTAGGTGGCTTGATACTGAGATGCTGAGGGTATTTCCCAGGGAAGGAGCTTGGCGGTGCCACTCTCACTTCTTGGTACATGCTGCTTCTATAACCATATGCTGCAAAACATGCTGAATGGTAGTTTCTCTTTTTGCTGTTTTTTGTAAAAGTGAAAATCCTCTTCAGATTTCTTTTGATTAGTGAAACAGGTACAGTTGACCCATGAACAACATGGGTTTGAATTGCTCAAGTCCACATATACATGGGTTCCCCCCAAAAAATACTGTATATATATTTTCTATTCATTTTGATTTTTATAATATTTTCTCTCTAGCTTACTTCATTGTAAGGATATAGTACATAATACATATAATTACAAAATATGGGTTAATCAACTGTTTGTGTTTATCAGTAAGTCTTCCAGTCAATAGTAGGCTATTAAGTTTTTGGGGAATCAAAAGTTCTACTCGGATTTTTGACTGTGCAGGTGTTGGTGCCCCTAACCCCTATATTCAAGGGTCAACTGTAATGTAGGTCTTTCATAAAAGCAAAATGGTGTAACTCGAACTTTCAAAAAACAGGATACTTGTGTTTGAAAACCTGGTAAAAATGAGTGATTTCTTGAAAAATACAGGATGTCCCCCCAAAATATATACACACTTTGAATAATTATTTATTTCAGTGGGTTGAATCTGAAAAGAAAGAAGCATCAATTGAGCTATCAGTTGTGCATATATATTTTTTGGGGACACCCTGTATATGTGAATATGAATTGAGAAGAAAGCATGTGGAAAGATATATATACTGCAGTCTTTTTTTTTAATGTTCATTCTTATTCATTAAAAATGTTGCATTACAAACATTTTGATTCATAAATAGTCAAGGTGGGTGGTGTATTATACTGCATTCTTTTTTTTTAACTCATCCAAGCCTTTATTAAGTACCTACCATATGCACAATCCTGTGCAAAATATTAAAGGAATATAAAGATGAATTTAAAAATGGTGCCAACTCTCAAGGAGTTTATAATCTAATGATAGTGACAAATAGTTTAACACAAACTGTAGGAAAGGAATTACTGCATTTTTAATAGTATTTTTCTGTGGTGCAGGAGAGGGAGAGTACGATTGGGGAGCAGAGGTGAAGGAAGTCTTCAGCTCTTTCTTTACTTTTATATTCAGGGATATTTTCCCAATGAGCTCATATTACTATATGGCTTGTATAATTAATAATAGATTGTTGAAATGTATTTTAAGAAAGCATTAAAATACAAATTCATTTATTTTTAGTGAGTAGTCTGCTAGATGGTTAACATGTTTTTTCTCCATTTTTATTCACCTTTCCTAGGAGTTGGTGCTGCAGTAATTGATAACTACCTTTATGTAGTTGGTGGTCACTCAGGATCTTCCTATCTGAACACTGTGCAGAAATATGACCCTATCTCAGATACATGGCTGGATTCAGCTGGCATGATATACTGTCGCTGCAATTTTGGATTAACTGCACTTTGACAAGTGTGGACTCATGGAAATAGTGAGGTGATGAACCTCGTGCCGCATGAAAGGATGCCCAATTATCTGAAACCCCAAAGCCACATTGCTTTCTTTTCAACTTGAAATGGCATGAAGACTCAACGTTTGTTGGGTACTTTGACCTGACAAGTAGCTTTGGTTGCTCTTGATTACACGGTGAATCAATAATAAAAAAAAAAGAAAAATCTTGCCAATTGAATTGTGCACTTTTTCCCCCTCTAATACTGGCATAAAGTAGTTTTATGTTCTTAAGTGTAGATGTGAAGAAAAACTTGCTTTTTTCTCTCTAAATTTTAGCTCTCTTCCTTCTTGATATGCACCATGATTTACTAGGATGAATGATGTTTAGATGCTGGAGTGTAGTGAATGACTGGACAGTGCACTGATGTCTGTTGCGTGTAAATTCATATACTTCACATTTTAAATAAAGGGCTGCTTTTCTTTCTTTTTTGGGCAGTGAGGGTACTTTTAAGGGGTATAAATTATATATGCCATAGTGAATCACCTGGACATTCTTCCTGCTAAATGGCTTTAGGGCTGAGGATGTAATAACTTTGCAAGACAAATGCTTTTACTATCATGATATTTGGGGGCCTATTTAAAGAAGTCATATTTACTGTTTATATCTTTTTTACATGGCAGGTCAGTGCTGGATGAATTTACTTATCCAACTATGCTTTGCCTGGCATGGATAGAGTTAAGCATATCAGTGGTTTTTTTTAGTAGTATATAGCAAGCTTCCTAGTGTTGATGTAAATAATTGACAACTGTTTAGTATCACCCTTAGTGCATATTGAATTTTTTCATATATCCTTATAATAATTTCAGTTTTTAAGACATTGGTTTGCTTTTTCAAAGTCTTCAGATACAAAAATGGTGCTAACTATAGGAGCTATAACAAGGCTATAATGACGTTCTTTTGGATGTTCAGTATGAGATATGCATGACATGTTTTGATAGTGTTTTTTCATTTTTACTGGCTTGATTTATTTGTGCTTATTAAAAATGTTAGTGAGTATACTAATGTTAACATCCAAAAATTACCTAAATGCCTATGTTATGTTTATCATGGTTCCTGAACAGTGATTTAAAAAATACATTTTTGATCTTCTTTCTTCTTGTGCTAGATATAACATGTCCTCCTTAAAAACAGAAATATATGCATTAAATATAAAGTACTAGGCAGTTATGCATTACTCTGTACATTTCTTAGGTAACTGAATATTTTAAAGTTATGGAGGAAAACTGGAACTCAATGTTTACTTGAGTAGTGGTTCTAAATTTGGTTCTACTTTGACTAAAGAAATAATCTTTTAAAGCAAAATAGTTTGCTATTGCCAAGTGACAGCTTATTTAAAAGAAGTGGTTGACTCATTTTGTTTTAGCATGTTTTAGTAAATGTCTGTTAGACTTGAACACATTACCTTGCATTTTATTAGGATGTTGGTACTTCTGTTTTTGTTACTGTAGTCATTTTATTTTCCATGATTTTTTTTAACTTGCCCACCATTTCTTTATATGGTCTCTGCAAAACCAGTGTATATTTGTAAGAAAAATTATACTGCATTCTTAAGTGCCACATTGTTCTAAACTATTGTTAAGAAGCCATTTGTAATTATAAAATGTAAGTTAATTTGTTAGCATACATGTTATTTCTTGAAAACTGTAGCCAGACAATTTGCTGTTTTCCTAGTTCTTCCATAAACTGCCAGTTGTAGATTTAAATATATACTACCAAACTATGTGAAATTCATCCTTAAACATAGGTAGTATCATGCTTTATGAATATTTGCACAGATTATAAAACCTTGCAAGTAATTTTTAGTCTCTTCTGATTAAGAACTCAACAGGAGCTACTAATAAACTTGACAGGCTTAGTATTTTCTATGTTGCTTGTTTAAATAACAATGATATATAGCAATAACTTTTTAATTGATTTGAATAACTCTATTGAATAGAAACAAGGTGCACTATTGTGATTGGCCTAGACTTTATTTAAAGAAAAGCAATTTAAAATAGATTTCATCACATACTTAATTTAAATTTCCCAACTCAGTTTTCTATTTATATCAATAAAGTTGTTAAATACATCATGTTATTCTATATTTAATCCTTTCCCCCCAGAAGGGAATTTGGAAGACTGGAAAATTATTTTAACTGTAAACAGCTATACTATATATTTTATTTTAATAATGTTTTACTCAATGTATCGTTGCCACTATCAAATTAGTATAAAATATATAAATCATTTGGAAAATTAGATCAAAAGCATCTGTTGATCACTATTTTGGAAAAATTTAAATTTCATGTTAAGAAGAGTAAATGTGAAATATTTGGGGCAATAGTAGAAGCCATATACCAGAGAAAAAAATTATGAAACCTGTAAAAGGAAGAGAAAAAAAGAAACAAATTTAGAAATATTTATTTTAGGTTTGCTAAACCTGATATATAGTTCATAACAACTATAGGTATTAATGTGAACTGACAACTAATAACTTTACAGTAGAACCTTCGTGTACAGATTCGTGAGAAGTTTCATTATGAATACTCTGCTGACAGATTGTGACTATAAAGCCACGTTTCTTATGTTAAAAAGGATAAAGATATTTGAGTATAAATTCCCAGGGTTAAAGATGTTACAAATAATTTTATATAATCAAGAAGGAGACAGCTATTTAAGATTGCCCAAAAATATTTTTTTAAAAAGTGACAGTGAGAAATAGAGATTGTCTAATTGGTTGGAAGATAATTGCCTTTTATAATTATTTTATGAGGACATAATCAGGAATGTTTGGCTTTTTAATATTTGTTGAATATAGTAATAGAACTTAAGTGGTTTTTAGTATAGGCCAAAGGATATTTATGTAAGTTCCTTATGTTATTACTAATATTGTTTTAGATATTAATAAATATGAAATTATAGGAAGTGGTATCAAGTGATAGGAAAATGACATTCATTAGGTTTTGAAAATTATTTTGATAACTTGACAAATGTGGAGGGTCTACTATATGTATTAGATATTGTGCTAGATGCTATAGAGGCCAGAAATATAAGTTAGATATAGTCTTTTCACTCAAAGAATAAAATATAGTGAGGGAGAACTATACCCAAATAACTATTATGGTAAAGTGTGAATCTAATTCCTTATATCCAACATCATAAAAAGTAATTAAAGACCCAGTTTATGTATAAACATTTGTGTTCTTTCGTGTTCAATTAGGTTTTATTGGCATGAAAGAGAATTATTTAAAAACTTCACGTCTATAGAATTCAGAATTTCCCAGAATTGGATAATATATTTTCTAGTAGAAAAACAAAATTATAGAAGCTTAAAAAAATAACTATTACCAAGGCTCTGGCTGACATTGAAGGAAATATATGTACATATAATGCTCTGTTTTCAGTTTTGGTGTTGGATTTCTGGTATTGTCACCTAAGTGCTCATTTTCAGGAAAATCAGATTCCACAATAAATACACTGCTCAGAGTTCAATAAACTTGTGATAACCTCCATAACCTCTGTAGTCTGAAAGTTAAGAAATTATAATATGTCACATGTCAAGTTAACATCCAGTTCTACCTTTTAACCTTTTTTTCCTTTGTAAAACAGCACTTTGAATTAGACATGATTTAATTAGATACAATTATCCTGTGGCTGGATATATATTGGATTTTCACTTACAGTATAGTGATTCAATGTTGGTACACATTTGAAAGAGTGAGGAATACAATAAGTTTTAAATACTATAGGTTTACAAGTTTTCCTGTTGGTGTGAATATGGAGTCAAATAAAAATCCAGTTTACATCTCTGCAGAGAGAAAAGTTGTTATTCATATGTCTTTTATATTATATTTAACTAGGTATAATTTATTATTATTTTTGTCAAGTTACCATGTGTAAGTCCCATTTATTTTAAAACACCAAGCAAAAAGTTCCAAGTTTGCCTTAAAATACAAGTGAAATTAAAGAACTGGATAATAATGCCTATATTTTTGCCTTATATGCTGTATCATAAACCAGAGATGGTTTTGATTTAAACAGGATTCCGAAATTTTGTAGATGCAGAGTACTAATATATGTACTCTCTTGCAAAGAATGTGATCTAGTGTGGATTATGTTAATATTTAAATGTTTTTGTACATGTATTTTACCTCTGAATAGGTATCTTTTTAGCATCAGGGTTTCATTTTATTTTTGTTTACATAGTGAAGTGGCATTTAACTTGTTGAAGGTTGTATTCTTTTGTCTTTTATTTTTAAAAGTTCTATGTATGTACTATTGTAATGCTCTGTAATGACTATGGTTAACTTTCATTTAATGTGAAATGTTTAGAATAAATTTGAAAAACATGGCTTCGTGTGTGTCAGTTGTTGTGAACTGACCTGAGCTAACTTCGTCATGCTTGAAGCTGGGGTTCTTCTTGGTAGATAGGTAGTGGCCACAAAAGTTGAAGTGAGTGTAGAATAGCCATACATTCACACACTTATTAAAGAAACATTTATTAGCAAAGCAGGCACAAGAGTTCGGTGGGTAAGTTCAGTGCAGTCCCAGCTTTCTATCCTTTAGAGTTTCTAACCAGTCTTTAAGAAGGATTCACTTGAGGCAGGCAAGGTAACATTCCAGAGGATTTTGTTACTGTTATCGCCAGCAACAGGTAACCAGCAGCCCTCCTTAAGGAAGAACTGTAAACAAGAAATCGAGCTCCCAGTGCCATCTTTAAGGAAGTTGTAAACTACAGGCTTGAATGGATTCAGATAACCTGTACATGCAAGGATTGGAAATGTCTCATATTTTTAGATAATCTACAATCTTCAAAAGGAGCTTTTACTTTATTCTTGGATGTTAATGTAATTTTTTTGCTTAGCCTAAAAATCTTGGTTTCTATCAACATTAACATAATTACCTATTTGATTTATCTTAAACACACGTTTGGAAATAACAATGGATGCAGTTAAGATGCCTTTGTAATTCTTTTTGTCCTTAGAATATATTTCAAAAGGATAAACAATAAAAATGCTGGTTTTAGCCCATCTGGCGTGGCTCAGTGGTTGAGCATCACCTACAATCCAGGAGATCCACCAGTTCAATTCCAGGTCAGGGCACATGCCCAGTTACAGGCTCGATCCCCAATAGGAGGTATGCAGGAGGCAGCCGATCAATGACACATCATTGATGTTTCTCTCTCCCTCTTCCTCCCTCTTTCTGAAACCAATAAAGATACATTTTAAAAATACACAAAAAACCCCCGCTGGTTTTAGAGTCAACTGAAGTAATATTTGGTTAAAGCATAATTGCTGTACATTTAATGTACACTTAGGTTGTTTTAATTCATATTTTAATTTCTAGGGATATACTTTAATTTTATTTTTAAATTGTATAAAATATTTACCTGACCCCAAAGTTGAAACTATATGAGAAGATGGGGTCATAAAAATTGTATCTGAATTTCTACCTTTTCCATTCTGCTTATTTTTATTCTGTAGATAATCATATTTATTAAATGTTGGGTCCATTGTTTCATTTTGAAAATATGAGTACATCTTCCCCATTACCTTACAAAATAGCATACTGTAAAAACACTTTCAATTTTTTTGTACTTAATACATTCAGAGGATTATTCTATATCAGTATATGGAGGTAAATTCTTAATCTTTTCTGCAATCTTTTCTGTAAATACTATAGTACTCTTAAGTAGTCTGATGGACATTTAGGTTTTCATACTTTTATTTACAAATAAATGCAGTGAATAGCCTTGTGCATTTGTTGTTTTGGATATAGATTTTAAGAAGTGGAATTGCTGGGTGGAAAGGTAGATTATACGTAATTTGCTAGATCTTGCTTGTTTTAGTTCAGGCAGCTGTAACAAAATACCATAGACCGCGTGTCTTATAAACAAAAGTATATTTCTCACTGTTCTGGAGCCTGGAAGTCCAAGACTAGAATTTCAGCATGGCCGGGCTCTGGTGAAATCTCAGGGTTATAGACCACCGACTTCTCATTGTACCCTCAAATGACAGAGTACAGTGGGAAAGAAACTACAGTGTCATAACTTTTATTATGACACTAATCCCATTCATGAGAGATCCGTATTCATGGCCTCATCTAATCCTAATTACCTCCCAAAAGCCTAACTTAATAGGTTCATCACAAGGAGGAGGGTAGGTTTCAATATATGAATGTTGGGGAGACACATTCAGTCACTAATGTCCAATTCTCCCAAAAGGTTATACAATTTTGCATTCTCATCAATAGACAAGAGTACCTTATAGACTGTTTATTAGTCTACCTACGTGAGCTAAGTAAAAGATAACATGTGGCCTCAGATTCTTTTTGGCACAAATTATGTCTAACACTAAAAGAAATGAAAAGTTTCTGATCCAAGATGGCAGGGAGTAGGTCAGGGGTGGGGAACGTCTGGCCTGCAGCCCTCAAAATCATTTGGTCTGTCCCTGCTAAGGCAACTGCAGGCAGGACTCTAATTCAATAAGATGATAAAAAATATGCACCCCTATGTTCACTGCAGCATTATTTACATTAACCAAGATTTGGAAGCAGCCCAAATGCCCATCAGTAGATGAATGGGTTAAAAAACAAAACAAAAAAACTTTTGCGACAGCATGGATGGACCTGGAAAGTATTGTAAGTGAAATAAACCAGTTAGAGAAAGACAAGTACCATATGATTTTACTTATATGTGGAACCTAATGAACAAAATAAGCTAACAAAATGGAAACTGACTCATAGATACAGAGAATAGACTGACAGCTGTCAGAGGAGATGGGGGTTGAAGAACTGGGTAAAAAAGGCGAAGGGATTAAGAAAAAGATAAACCCCCTATACACAGACAACAGTGTGGTGATTACCAAAAGGAAAGTGAGTGGGAGGAGGTAGAAGAGAGAAAGGGGGGATAAAGGGTGACAGGAGACGAGTTGGCGTGGTGAACACAATACAATATGCAGAGGATGTATTATAGAATTCTACACCTGAAACATAATTTCATTAACCCTTGTCTCCCAATAAATTCAATAAAAAAGAAATGAAAAGTTTCTTATTTTTAGTGTACTTGAAAAGCTGCATTAAATCCTTTACTGAGTAAAGCAGGATCTAAATAAGGATGGACTAATCAATCACTTGTCATTGTGATCAGGAAGAAAGTCTTGGAAAGTATATTCTTGTGTGTACCCTGGGGAGACTTAAGAGTTTAAATAGCAGTGGTCCTAGAATCTATTTGAGTGGGTGGTTCCCACTATATAGAGGTCTATGTGTAAAAAAGTTTTAGAGTCTGATTTTAAAAGATTTTGACTAGCTAGTTTACTTAGTGGTTAGAGTGTTGGCCCTTGGACTGAAGGGTCCCAAGTTTAATTCTGGCCAAGGGCACTACCTACGTTGTAGGCTCGATCCTGCCCCAGTTGGGCATGTGGGGGAGGCAAACAATTGATGTGGTGCATCAATGTTTCTCTCTCCCACTCTCTCTGAAAGGCAATGGAAAAAATATCCTTGGCTGAGGATTTGAGTAAAAAAAAAAGATTTTGAATAAATGATTTTGGACAATGGTGGATAATCTATTTTTGAGCAGGAACAAGATAGGATATTTCATTAATATTTACTATCAAGGGAAATTTAAGCTATTCACTTTTAACTTTTGCTTTATTTGTTTCTGCATTTCAAACCGCTTCATGAATTTAACATTTTTTCAGGTTTAATATTAGAATTTGTTCTGTGACCTTAATTGCCACAGAAATGCTAGCAATGTTTTTCAGCCAACAAACTCAAAATATTCACACATCACTTAGTTCATTTTCTACAGCAGCACTAGTCACCTAATTTCATTTCTTAATAAAATATTGAAAGATGAATCAAAAATAACAGTAGCTAACATTTTCATGGTGCTTACTATGTGCCACACACTAAATGCTATACATAATAATTGATTTAATCCTCACCACAACCTTAGGAGATATATTCTATTACCTCCATTTTACAGTAGAAACAGAACAGAGAGGTTAAATAGACTCAAAGCCACACAATCAGTGACTGAGTCAGAATTTGAACCCAGGCAATCTGGCTTTAGACTCCAGGTATTTAAGTGCCAGACTCTTACCTCTCTCTCCCTGGGGGCATAAAATTCAGTAGTTTAGGACTGATGATAATAGAGATAATTGAGCTACCAATCGATGTGACATCAATGTTTCTCTGTCTCTCTCTCTCCCTCCCCCTCTTTCCCTCCCTCCCCCTCCCACTCTCTCTGAAAAGCAATGGAAAAAATATCCTCAGGTGAGGGTTAAAAAAAAAAAAAAAAGTGGTCTCATCTCATGATTCACCTTGGAAGTCTGCAATTCCTTTATGTTTTTTCCTGAGTGAAAAATGTCAATCCTGAATCAGGTCTTCTGGCATTTCCATAAGCTCTCCAGGGACAGGAATTCCTAGCCCTTTCAAAAGAAGAAAGCATAGAGGAGTCCAGGAACCATGAGAGTTGGGGAAGCGGATGAAGAAACCAGAGTCAACTGACAAATATTTAAACTGGGGTGGTGTTGGCAGCGAGCATAGGTAACCTCATCAAAGACATCACCACTGAATGCTATCCCAAAGCTATGAGTGTGTATAGTGTCACAGAACAGAAGGAAAATTGGACTTGCCTCTCCCAAATTATAAAGCAGATTAATACTTTAAGGCCCTAAAGTTCCTTTATATTCCATACTGAGGAGCGTCTGCCACTTGTTCATACAGAAGACTACAAGAGCTTGAAATCCAGTCCTGCCCCTCAAGTCATTATCATTCACCAAGTATTTAAAGAGGACCCATCCCAACAGTTCTCCACTGTCCTCTCAAGTCTCTTCCCTCTTATTATAGAAAATATTTGAGATTATTAATCCTTGTGAGTTACTTTAGCTACAATAAATTTTTCTAAATGTGATGGTGTTTGAAAATGATTTTATCTTTAATTCTAGGATTTATAGCTTTCTAACAAAGGTGGTTAGGCTTTGTGGGTAGGGGTAGAGGGCATAGCACTTGACAATTGCCCTTGAAATCACAAACTGGATCCTTTTTCCTCCCCAGACCTCTTGCCAGAATGCTAAACAGCAACTGTGAAGGGCTTAAAGACCTCACCGTAGATGTCTGCCAAGCTGCCCCTCCTCTGTACTCTAAAGCCTCAGGTGCTTACCCTGCCATATTACTTCCCCATGTATAGTCATCGATTGATGCATCTTTCTCCTTTTTGAGATGTGTTCCTTCAGGGCAGAAATCATACCTAGTTCAACTAGCAATTCCTAGACAGTGTATATTAAGGGAATGCTACGGAGAAAGTATGTCTGATATTAATTTGTTCTAGCTTGTAGCCCCCAAATCAAGCTTATATTGCTGGGTAAAGATTTCTCCAGCCAGCCATTTCCTCCAAGCCTTAACCTCGTGGCTTCTTGACCCGAGCACAGGTCAGCTCTCCGATTTCCTGCCATCTTCTCTGGTCCTCTCCTTTCCTTCTGCCCTAAAATTCCCATATGCTGAATGTGCAGATATATTTGTCTAAATCCCTTCTCTTCACAAACTCTCTTAGATAGCTTTTTCCTACTCTACCTTTAAAGCAAGCCAATCAGTGTATTTTATTTTATTGATTTTGAGAGAGAGAGGAAGGGAAGGAAGATAGAAACACCCATCTGTTGTTCTACCCATTCATGCATTCATTGATTTCTTCCTATATGTGCCCCGACCAAGGTTTGAACCACAACCTTGGCACATTGGGATGATGCTCCACCCAACTGAGTTACCCAGGGCCTTAATCTTCTGTTACTCCTTTGTTAGATTAACAGGGAAACAGTCCATTTTGTTGTACCCTTTTGGGGACAATGTATACCACAGGGTCTTGCTTCCAACTGTGGAATCTGGCATACTATTTTGAGATGTAGGTAGAGGAACATAAAGAAATGACATTCTCGCCTGGCTGGGCGTGGCTCAGCGGTTGAGCATTGACCTAGGATCCAGGCGATCAAGGTTTGATTCCTGGTCAGGGCACATGCCTGAGTTGCGGGCTCGATCAATGACTCTCTCATCATTGATGTTTCTCTCTCTCCCTCTCCTTTCCTCTCTCTGAAGTCAATAAAGATATATTTTTTAAAAAACCAACAACAAAAAAAACAAGCCTCTCATTTAAAAAAAAAAAAAAGACATTCTTCATAAAATGAGTTCTTGAAGGTTTGAGAAAAGCTTCTGAAGGCAAGTGTCCAGGTATAAAATGTCTGAACAGGTGACCACAGTAGTTTTCTTCAGTCTCACTTCCCTCTCCAAGCTGTCTCATGCTGATTATTTCTATCACCACTATGCCAAAACCTAGGATTATATATTTCTTATTTCAAAGGCTGAACTCCTTGATTCTTGCTCTTCAGTACCAGGGAGCCATGCTGGATTTTTCAAAAAGGCTTTACCAGTATATACCAATGGTTTTTGCTGGGTGGAGAAATCATAGACCATTTTCTTCTTTACCCTTTTCTCAGACTTACAGATTTTTTTACTGATTTATACATTATTATTGTAATCATATTAAAAAATAACAATATAGCACGGTTGGAATGGCTCAGCTGGTTGACTGTCGTCCCATGCACCAAAAAGTTGCTGGTTCGATTCCTGGTCAGTGCACATACTGAGTTTCAGGTTTGATCCCCAGTTGGGGAACATACGGAAGGCAACTGATCAGTTTCTCCCCCTGCCCCATTCCTCTAAGCATGTCCTCGAGTGAGGATTAAAAAAAGAAAAAAGAAAAAGAATGCCACTATGTAATTCAAAGGGAAAACAGGGAAGTAATGAAAATGAAGCTAGGAACAGCAGATTTCTTGTTCTTTTTTATCTATACCCTCTTCCACCTCCCCCAACCCCTTTTCGCTCTGGTAAGCACTATGCTGTCTGTGAGTTTTGTTTTTTGTTTAATCCTTTCACCTTTTTCACACAGCCCCTCAAGCACCACCTCTCTCACAGCTGTGTCTGTATTTTGTTTTGTTTCTTTAGATTCCACATATGAGTGATATTATTTGGTACTTGTCTTTCTTGGACTGGCTTATTTACTTAGTATAATGCTTTCCAAGTTTATCTGTCCTGTCAAAAAGAGTAAGATTTCTTTCTTTTCTTTTTTTTTTTTTGCTGCTGAGTAGTATTCCATGGTGTAAATGTACTGCAGCTTTTTTATCCACTCATCCCCTGATGGACACTTGGGCAGCTTCCAGATCTTAGCTATTGTAAATAATGCTGCAATGAACATAGGGGTGCATATATTCTTTCAAATAAGTGTTTCGGGTTCCTTCAGCTATATTCTCAGAAGTGGAATCGCGGGGTCATTTTAGCATTCATGTTTTGTTTCTATAATCCTCATGTGAGGATATATTTTCCATTGCTTTTCAGAGAGAGGAAGGAGGAGACAGACAGACAGACAGACACATTGATTGGTTGCCCCCGCTTGCACCCCGACCAGGGTCGGGGGGTAGAGCCTGCAACTGAGTACGTCCCCTTGGCCAGAATTGAACCAGGGACCCTTCAGTCTGCTGGCCAACACTCTAACCACTGAGCCAAAGCGGCTAGGGTGGCAGTTCCATTTTTTTGAGGAAACTCCATACTGTGTTTTCCATAGTGGCTCCATCAATCTGCATTCCCACCAATGGTGCATGAGTGCTCCCTTTCCTCCTCCTCCATGCCAAAGCTTGTTTGTTGATTTATAGATGATGGCCATTCTGACAGGTGTGAGGTGATATCTCACTGTGGTGAACAGCAGATTTCTAATTCTACCATGGCTAACTTGTCTGCACAGCTCATTTGCTCCCCAGCTCATTTTTGAGGGCCCTGCCAGAGTGGATCACTTTCTCATTTTCAAGATATTCCTCCTTGATAGCTTGCAGAAGACCTCATTGAGGAAAGAATGGATGGACTATAGAACTGGTTGCTCATTGAGGGTAAATAACCTGATATACCTCCTCAGGTAGATTTCAGCATATAAAGAAATTTTCTAGCTAGAGACTCCACACTTCTTCCTCAGTTTCCCAGAGATACAGTAAAAGTTTGTTTTCCCTAGAATCAAATTAAAATTTGAAGTTAAAGGCTATCCAGGTGACCAGATAGTGAACCCTGGGCCAACTGGGTGGGTTGGAACTCTTTAGTAATGCATCAAGATGAATTTCAAAAGCTATGTGAGTTTAGCTTTTAATGCAGAATAGCTTGATTTTAAATGGAGCATTAACAAAGGAAGATGAGTACAGGGTGAGTAAAGTAGGTTTCTAGTTGTGAGTATGCAAGACAGAGTTTATTCTTGTATTATTTTCCGTACGAACATCTATAAATGTACTTTTGCCCCACCGTGTATAAATGTTTGCTTTGGATGTAGTTTAGTACTTGTTGCAGTCCTTTTTACTTGAACTGCTTACCCTTCCTTTCTTCTTACAGTGCATTACAATTATTTTCAAATAATTGTCATTCATTTAATTATAAAACTTCATATGCTTAACAAGTACAGCTTTTTGTCATAGTAGTTATCTGCTTATATAGCTTAGTTGTTTGCTCATAACCTCAGAATGAAATAGATTTTAGAATTCACCCTAGTAAGCATGCAAAGCTTGCTTGTAGCCAAGTATCTTTAGTTTCTTTTCCTCTTTGATTGGATCAGATACAGTGAGAAGGCCTCAGATATTAAATAAAGTCTAATAATAATGAAAAGCCACCCTGAAGGATAAAGCTAAGTAAGATCATTTGCTAAGTTGGGAGGGAAAGGTTTCTTTTGCTGAAGAGAGGCAAGTTGGAAATTCCTCCTTAAATTTGCTGTAATTTATTCTTTATTCCCCTCAGAGGCCAAGGTTTTAAAATCATTTTTGCTCTCCCCATAGGTATAGCTATGATTTGTGGCATTTTGATTAAAAAAATATTCTGATCATTCCCTCATATCTTTGCTCCCTCACCCCAATTTCTCTAAGGGTGTCTGTGGTTATAAAGAATGTTCCATACCCTCACTTTCACATTCTACAGATAACCTAGTTTAGTTCATTCTTTTTTATCCCTTTTCTATTTGGTCAGCAGGGAATAATTTCTTTCGTTTTTTTATCTTCCATTTTTCCACTGCTTTTCAGAGAGTGGAGAGAGACAGAGAGACCTCAATGTGAGAGACACATCAATTGGTTGCCTCCCGCACACGCCCGGCGCCAGGGTTGGGGATGAGCCTGCAACTGAGGTATTTGCCCTTGACTGGTATCGAACCCGCGACCCTTCTGTCTGTGGGCTGAACCTCTAACCACTGAGCCAAACCAGCCAGGGGAGCAGGGAATAATTTCATCTTTCTACCAGCCAACCACCACCATAAAAATAAACCACCTATTATCCTTAAATCCCAACCATGTGGGGTCCAGAAAACACCCTTAAATTCCATTACACATTAAATCCACTACTCATATGAGCTACTGTCTAAATAATTTTTAAAAAGTCTGAAAAGTTCATTAGTAAGAGAGAAACTGGGAGACTTGCCTGTACATGAAAGAGGTAGAAAAAATATGTTTATTAGCATGTTCAAGGTAGTCAAGATTTTAACAAACATCTAAAGCCTCACAACAACCCTGTGAGGTAGGTAAGTCATTGTTTTGTGATAAACTAGCATCATTCTAAATAAAGTGCAATTCCTAAAAAAATAAATCTGCAGTAGAAATAGTTTTGTTAATGATACCATTTATGTATATGCTAGAATTTGTGTTTTTATTTACTTTGATTCATGCAATAATAAGGTGTTCCCAGAAAAGTTTACCATAAATCAAATTCTATTTAAATACCCAGGGGAACTATTTAAATAAATCCTGGGGTGATTTAAAAAAAAATAATAAATCACTATTTTTTTTTATCTTATGTAAAAAAGGGATTTTCATAGTGTTTGCTCAAAGTGAGGCATTCTCAGCAACATTTCACTCACATTTATCTATTCTTCGGTAAATTCTCTTAACATGACACCATGCCAATGTTAAGACTTAATTTACTGAATTAAAACTTAGCAATTTGGTATATGGCAGTGACCTGGGTTATCATGTAGTAATCTCCAATATATTGCGCTCCATCTCAACACAAAACCTAAGGTGGACAATTTAATGAAATGTAAACACTAAAAAATTGTAGTAAATTTCAAAAAGTATTTTCCCTTTAGAATATTACTTAATTTTTTCCTTTAAACTGCAAAAGAGAGAGAGAGATCTTAGGGTCTTTGAAGAAAAATACAATGTTCTGATATCTATACAATTCTAGTGATTTCTATTGAAAATCAAAGTCTCATGTTACCAATTTACTTACAAGGGAGATGTTACTCCAAAAATTTGGTTTTTTTCTGTGCCAATATGACTTACTAGGAAAAGAAATTTTCCCAAGAACCCATTCTCTCTTAAGTATATATTCAAAGTACATTTCTACTGTTAATCCAACATTAGTAAACATCAGTTGCCTAATTTTTTTATAGTCATGTTACATGCAAAATATATTTTTATTGGAGAAATTGCATTACATTTAATTATGAGATAAATATTTAGATTAGTTCTATAATTTACTTTGAACAATAACTCCAATTAAGCTCAGAAACTTAGTTCTAACACTTAAAATTCACTGTCAGGTTTATAATACTTCAGCAAGTGGTTAAAGGAATTTGCCATTATAAAGAAATTATTCAAGCCCAGAAAAACATTCTCACCAAAATTTTTAAAAAATTGCTTCAGGGAAATTAGGCAAAACAACAGGTAAAACAGACTAAGCCATCTATAACTTGTACATTCAAATACATACTAGACCCAATAGTGCACTTTGGATTATAGTGAGGTAGGGCAAAGAAATAAAGTCAGATACATTTTGAACTGTGAAATGTATATAAACTGAAACACTGACTTGTACCCAGGTTTTATTTGGATATTAAAAAAAAAAAACAACCCCCAAAAAACTGAGAATTCAAATGACAAAGTATTTTCTTAGATTCAAGGACAGATTTTCAAAAAATCTTTGCAGTACATATAAATAAAAAAATACAAAGGTATATTTTATTTCAACATAAAATATGCTTGTATAAAAATAACCCAGGATATAGAAAAAAGAAATACAAACATTTTTGCATAGATTCTCTATATAAAACATTTACCTGGGGCTAAAACTGGAAAAAACACCTCTGAAACTAGTATAGTTGAACTATTTCCTTGGATACCAAGTACATAAAAATAAAAGCCCTTCATCTTAGGGAGTATGGGCAGGAGGGCAAACAATTAAATTTAGCATCAGTCTATATTTATTTCTCTGTTGCTCGAATATAAACCAATGATGACAAGAGGAGAAACTCTGGGGGTTTATTTAACAAAATTAAATTCACATTTCTGAGGCCATCATAGTGCATCCAATGTCCATCAATCTGGAAAGCTGCAGAATAATGATGTTCCTCTTTGTTAAATAATGTGGCACCTTCCAACAAATACCTGCAAATTCAATGATAAAGTATAGCAGAAAATTACAATACTTTGTTCTTAAAATAAACATTCCTTAAATTCTTAACTAAGGGAAAAAACTGAGATTGTCTGCATTCTATTCCCTGTAAAACTAATGTACTATAATTGGTAATTTGGAAAAAAATGTTTAAGAATTGTTTAAAATTATATAATTTAAGAATTTAAAAAAATATATCTTAATTCATTACCTGTATGGTGCTATTAAATAAGAGAAAACACACAAAAACTTTTAAAGCAAAAAGTTAAAGGAATCCTGTATGTCCTAATTTGTATGCAGATACTTTTATCTATAATAATGACAGTGCCATTTTATTTATTTTAACTTAATTTAATTTAATTTAATTTAAATATTTTTTAAAGGTGCCCTGACTGAGGATCGAACTCTGCCACCTTGGTCCATTGGGACGACGCTCCAACCAACTGAGCTACCCGGCCAGGGCCAGTAACATTTTATTTTTAAATGATGACTTCAGACTATGTATTACTTTGACTTGAAATATAAATAATAGCTAGAATTTAGTTTAGTATGTGTGGGTACTATCCTAAACACTTTTCATGTGCTATGTAATGGCACCAGATAGATACTGTCATCTCTGTTTTATAGATAAGAAAACTGATGAGTAAACTGGTCAAGTTACTGGTTCAAGGTCACATAGCTTATAAATGGTAGGGCTGGGTTTGAACCCAATTCTGTCTATTCAATAATCCAAACACCTAACCACTATGCACACTGCAGGCAGCTAACTCCCTGTAGTAGACTCTGATCTTATTCAGGATACATAAATTTAGAGATAGCTATGATCTCTTCAACAATATTTCCTTAAGGGCTGGACAAAATCATAACAGAATAGCAGAAAAACATAATAAATCTGTTTTTCACTAGTTTTATAAAACAAACAAAAACCACCTACTTGTGATCAGATAAATCCAAGTAATAGGGTACATATGCCAGATCTTCAGATTTCCAATGCTGCATATTTAAGACAACAAAAGGAGGTGCCCCATGGCAGAAAACTCGTTGGGAAAATTCTCTTAAACCACCACACCTAAAATTGAAAATAGGCATGAACTTTATTAAATTTGGAATAAAGCTGCCTTTTATCACTTCTCAGTTGTCTTTATTACATGTCATAATAAGCATAAATATCTATTTTAGGTATGGCTATGGTGAAGCTAATATTAGTACCTTATACAGGGTGGGCAAAAATAGGTTTACATTTGTGAGTGCATGAAACAGAATTTATTCTTGTATTAGTATTTATTATGTATTATTTTACTTGTATTCAAACTGGAAACCTATTTTTGCACATCCCTGTATATCTATTCCCAGAAGTTTACAAGCTCTGAGATTTCAATATGCAGGAAATGATACTTTTAGAACTCCAGGAAAACCTAGCTGTTTTGCCTAGTTTTATAAAAGTGAGTGACTTTTATATTTAGATAGATTTTTCTTTATCTAAGATGGTTTCAAAGGAAAATAATGACAAGAGGGGAACAATATGATTCTTACAGGCCCCTTTAGACTGGATAAAATTCCCTAATTGCTTCCTTTTGCCATAGGATGAAGCAAATTCTGTTTTCTTAGCAGCATCAGGTATTAAGCATATGGATCACAACAAATAGTTATACAGTAAAATCTCGATTAACCGGAAAGCTCAGGGTATAGTATTTTGGTTAACAAACATTACTGACTAATTTAACAGGAAAAACATTTTGTTTCAGTATTTGTTGCTAAAATACGTTAGTTCACTCTCTGAACTTAAGCCTAATTAACTGAACATATTTTATTCTTTCCTTCTTTAGTGATCAATTAACTGTAAGATCATCATTCTAAATATTAATTCTCATTGTAAAATAATGTAGCTATAGAAATTAAGAGATTGGGATAAATATATTCTTTCTGCCCCTTTGGATTTTTTTTTATTATGTTAAATATTTTGATTGTGCCCGGCCGGGCGTGGCTCAGCAGTTGAGCGACCACCTAGGATCCAGGCGCTCGAGGTTCGATTCCTGGTCAGGGCACATGCCCGGGTTGCGGGCTCGATCCCCAGTCGGGGGCGTGCAGGAGGGAGCCAACAAATGACTCTCTCATCATTGATGTTTCTATCTCTCTCTCTCCCTCTCCTTTCTTCTCTCTGAAATCAATGAAGATATATTTTAAAAATATATATATATTTTGGTTGTAATTTACCTCTTTCTCCTAAATGAGGAGTGCAGAAAAAATCCAGTTAATTGAGGGTGTCGATTAGCTGGGTTCCGGTTAACCAAGGTTTTATTGTCCCTACTCAGCAGTGGGGGAAAAAAAGAAAAGGCATTTGCTTTGTATTCATCAATTAATTGTAGTATTATATTCTACTTGATAATGACAGTGCAGCATAAGATAGTATAGGAAACTAGAAGGTGTTAAGATTTTAAAAAGTTAGACTTCCTAAATACTTATGAGAAGCTATTTCATATAGAATTAACATCAAAGAGCATATTAGTCCAGGTTTATTTATAAACAACACAAATATTTTCATCTTAAATGTCTATCATCTACTCACCCACGCTCTTCACACAGTTCAATCCTGGAACAGAATAACTCATCCACAGCCAGTCGTATCAAGTTTCCATGTGGAATTTCTTGAGGAGGACTACAATTGCAAAATGTATGTTAAGAACTGCTTCAACATCTTACAGGTAAATACATAATTAGGATTACAAAATTTACAGGTCAATTCATTATTAGCAAACCAAATAAAAGTATAACCTCTGTTATTCATCTTTGTATTTCTTGTAGATAGAGAAACCAGTTAAATTTAATAAATGTCAGTGCATGAAGCTTTCCAAGAAACATTAAATCTTTCTGTAAACTGATACTGAAATATGCAGTTGTTGTTATTTTTAAAAATTTTCCAGAGGATTCAACAGAAGGGATTCTGGTCTAGGGGGAAGAAAGTAGGACCCAGAATCAGGAAAGCTGTTGATTAGTTACTGAAGGTGCTGGCCTAAATTGCAGCCACTGTTGGCTTCACTTACCTGATTTGTTAAAAAAAATTTTTCCTACATATTTCAGAAGTTGTTTTGAATATAGGATTCAATAAAGCAGGCAAAAGCTTAAAAAATTTATATAGAGTATGATAAAAATATTTTATTAAGAAAAGCATAAAATATTAGTATTAATATTGTACATACACAAATTAAAATATTAGTTTTTAAAAAAACAAGAAAAATTTCTAAAATGCTTTTTAGTCCATTATGACTTAAACAGAATTTTTTTGCCTGATAGATTTCAAATTCAATATCCTCATATGAGCAATACAGGAAAAGGGACAAAGTGTATTTCAGAAAGAGAGTAATTGCGAGACTCTAAAAAGAATAAAGTATCTTCAGCTTTCCATATGTATATTATAATATTAAATATGCTATAAAGAAATATGAATTTAATGTTAGGGTATGTGATGTATATCCTCCAGAGAACAATCTATTAGGTGTTTTTTCTGGACCATAGGGCCAAATACACTTTCTGACAACAATGTATTTGGGTTTGTTTTTCTGTCCTGTTTCTTTCCACTGACAATTATCCCTTTTCCAGCTCCTGTCCCTTGGGGGCTTTAATGTTTCCCAACACTCCACTAGGGCTTGCCAGTTTGGCCTTCCTCCCTGCCATTTACCAGCCTGGAGGTCTGCCTTCTCTCTGAAAGTCAAAAATACTTAGCAGGCCACCAGCATCTTTCCCAGTTAGTGAAAATGCTCCTCATAGCCACATCTTCTCCAGGTATTACGATTCCAACTTTGTGATTTCTGTCTATACTTATGCTCTGGCCATAATGTGAAGGAGTACTTTCAATCTTCTTTTTTTTAAAAATATTGATTTTAGAGAGAGGAAGGGAGAGAGAGAGAGAAATACCCATGTGAGAGAGAAACATCGTTCGGTTGCCTCCCATATGAGCCCCCACTGGGGACTGAACCTGCAACCTGGATATGTGCCCTGACAGGGAATTGAACCCACTACCTTCTGGTGTATGGGATGATGCTCCAATTGAGCCACACTGGCCGGGGCTTAATTTTTTTCATGTAGAACTAGCTCACTCAACAGAGATCTATTTAAGGGGTGAAACATTATATTGGAAACATAAATTGGACAGTGTTCTTCAAGACGTTACATTTGTGACACAGGAATTCATTACCTACATAGTCACATTAGCAAATTCAAAGCAAGAACAAAATATTTTGCACTCTGAATAATTCATTATTTTGCAAGTAAAATAGTTATCAGTTGGTTTTGTAAAGTAAATTCCAAGGTGTTTAGATATTTCTGTCATGGGACTCAAGAATCTTAAATTTCTGTGGTGGATTTATGTGTAAGTAATTATACAGGGTTGTACTTTAAGAAGTACTTTGACTATATACAGATTTACAGCACTTGATTAAAAAGGTATACTATTTCTAAAAGTTATAAAACAGACTTTAGAGCAACTTACTTTATATTAATTGTACGCTGCTGATCTTCCTGCACTCGAGTTGGGCATCGCCAGTTGGAACAATAACTTTCTTGTATGGTAGACATGAGATTTTCGAGATTTTTTGTAAAATTATCATGTTCATTCCCAAACAAATCAATTATTAATGAAGCTTTATGAACTTCAGATTTATATTGCTGTTTTTCCATCTTGTCCCAAATCCAAAGTAGCTTCACAGTTGTAAAACTGTAGGTGTCCATTAAATAAAGAAAACAGTCTACAAACTCTCTACCTAAATGTAGAGAGAGTTCCCTGGGAAAATTTTCATTTTCATGAAGAATGACATATAATAACATCAAGAATCCATCTATGGTGCAGGTATTTTTCAGTCTTATTTCAACATAGAGTGGTGTACAGGATACTGCTTTGCGGCCAGCTTTGATAGTAAAAACACCGCCCCAAGGAAGAACAGGCCTCCAAAATGAGCGATCTTGGTTATAGTTATTTTTAATTGATGCTTTGATCTCTTCAAACAGTGTCTTCATCCTGCATTTTAGAAGTTAAAAATAGAACATGTATTTGACTACATATGACATGTTTAAATGAAAACAAAGCTATCTAAATAAATTGAATTTGGTTAGATGGCTTTCCAATGCAACAAAAATATCTAAAACAATTCCAGCTATGAGTCACTTTTGGGGGCAATGTGTATGGTCTTTGGAAACATCACTTAAGAAGCTGCAACCTTTTTTTGAGGTACTGAATGGCTATTTGATAGGCCTTTATATTAATTATACTGCAGATTTTATCTATGATATAGGAAAACACTGTTAATAAATCTTAAATGAAAATAAAGCTATTTAAAGATATAATCTACATTAGGTTGTGTATATTCCTAATGTAAACTTTTTCCACCCTCCAAAATTCAAGCTGTGCTTCATTTTCTTGTTAATATGTGTAGTTTTACTTATAAAATGAATATACTATAATGGAATCCTTATTTGGGCTCAGAATAATGGCTAATTAGTTTTGAAATATATGAAGATTAATTGTGAGAACTTAACTGAATAGTAGCACAGCTAATACAAATATCATTTATATGAACTTTGGGATTTTTAATTACAATTTAGGACCATGCTATATATCCTACAATTTGAACTACAGAGGCTATGCTGTGTGGATTTGATTCAGAACTTGGTAGGTAACCTGATTCCCTTCTCTGCACTGTTTTTTGTTTGTTGGCAGTATTTTTTGTTTTGTTAATCCTCACCCAAGGATATTTTTTCCCATTGATTTTTGGAGAGAGTGGAAGGGAGGAGGAGGAGATAGAGAGAAAAGACGATGAGAGAGAGACATCGATTGGTTGCCTCCCGCATGCTCAAGGTACCTGCTGCCCTTGACCAGAAATCAAACCTGAGACCCTTCAGTCCATCGGCTCACGCTCTAACCACTGAGCCAAACTTGTTAGGGCCTCTGCATCTTTTGGGAATGAACTGAGGTGTTCTCCCTATTTAAATTAGCACCTATCCTTCCCCTAACTTTGAGAATAGCTAAGCATTTTATTTTTAAAGTCATTGGCAGTATTCTAATAAACATGTTCATGTCATATGTATGTTATATAGAGCAAAATTTTAAAAAATTAAAGAATGACATCCTAATGAAACTGAATAGAAAAAATACTGCTTTACTTGAGACAAAAAAATGTCTTAAAACACCATTAGTGTTTTCCAATATATTACTTTTATGGAAAAGTATCTTTTACATGAAAAATTTAGTTCAAGTTGACTGTACAACAGCAGCAGACTAAAAATTCAGTTCTATAATATATTAAACACACAGTATTTCTGGCTTGAAGAAAGATACTCTGCACTTAAAATATTCAACACTAGATTTAGTCTGAAGTGTAGATATTTATATAGTCAGTAACAGGTTTGCTCTCCTCAACCAATTAGGAATAAGAGGGTGTGGCAAACTTGGAACATGGAAAACACACACTCAGTTTCTTCTTCTTAAGAATTAACACATTTCCGGAGCAGACTCGAAAAAATCATAAGGCATTCAAATACTTTAAAAATGAAAATAACTTTCTTCATGGTTTGATTTATTTCTGTTGAATTTTAAAGAACTTTGTAGCAAGGTCATAAGATCAAGAGCTTGAGTTCAGACTCCTAAATACTTCATTGAAAAGGTATCGTAAATCTTTACTGTTTTTTGTTTTGTTTTCAAATTATCTTTTGGACATGACCAAATGACGAGTAACTACAGCTCTATAAAGCAGCACCGGTATTTTAAGATAATTAAATTACAGTTTTATATATTTGCAATAAAACTACTTTAGTCTTTTCCTGAAAAAGAAAAAAGAGGGGGGTAGAGAGTATTGGAAGAACCAGAAGGCACTTAATATAGTATCAGCACTAATGTGATTTGTCCCAAAGAAGTTACTAAAAAGTAGTTTTAAAAAAAATGGAGAAATGGCTGCAAAGAGCTTTACTTAAATCTGTCTTGTTTGCCTCACACCTTCTAAGATTGCTCGTTAGGCACTATATTAGAAATCTTGGAGGAGTTATCCTGCTGTCTTTATTTTCCTGCCTCAACAGGCCCTCCAATTTGAAAAAACCTGCTAAACTCCCCTGACCTTTTATTTCCCTGGCAAAACACTACTTTTTTTTTTTGCAGTCATTTCCAAGGGTTACACTCTATACTCCACGCAGATTATGAGAACCAGACCATTTGCCCAAGGTATTGAACGCCGGACGCCCTAAAAGCTCGGGAGTCCTAAAGATCTCCTCTGGCATCAGCTCGGAAATAATCTGAAACACGGCCCCACGCCCCACCACGAAGCAGCGCCGGGCTTCTGAGCGGGTGCGGGCTGCAGGCGCGGTGGGCACCCAACTCAGCCCCCACGCTCCGGCCACGCCCACCCCGCCCCCAC